TTCGGATTCCCCTGGAACTGAAGTTAAGGATGGTTTGTAGCCACCATGTGGGTGCTGGGAATCAAACCTGGGTCCTCTGCAAGAGCAGTCAGTGCTTTTTGCAAAATTCCTGTCAGAAAAGAGTGTCAAACTCCCCTGGAACTGGAGTTACAGATGGTTGTTAGCCGCCATGTGGGTGCTGGGAATCAAACCCAGCTCCTCTGCAAGAGCAGTCAGTGCCCTTAACCACTGAGCCATCTCTCCAGCCCCCTAAAAGTTTATCTTTAAAAACTTTTTTTAAACTTTCAAAGTTCTGTGACGTGAAAACTGGGCTTAAACATGAGATCCTTTCTGCCTCAGGCTCCTGAAAGCTAGGATTACAGCCATGTGCCTGGCTTTTATTTTCTTTCAAAACCAGAACATTTATTGTGGACTAAGCATTGAAATTCTTAAGATGAGCTGGATGATGCAACAGCTGCCCTTCAGGTTTAGATGATATTCCTTCATGGAATCCACTCTTGTTCCCAGTGTGTTTCCAGTCATCCTTTTATCCTTGGCACTTTTTGCCTTATAGAAACTATAGCTAAGGTACAGCTGGCTACAGTTCTGCTCTGCTTGGCAGAATCAGCTGCTTTAACTTCAAGCAAAGAAGGCCACAGAGCCTCAGTGGAAACAGTTTTATTGTGACATTTTTCAAATGTTGCTGTTCCTTTCTTCATTACTTCTATTAGCACTAAAATGTTTAAAGTCTGGTATTCCAAAAGTCTTTAGTTTCTGTAACTCTAGATGTACACTCATCTAATCTTCATTTTTGTATTTCATCTGTAAGTCTATGACATCTCTGAATGCATAAGGCACAACACTGTCCTTGGAACAGGAAAAGAAGTTAGTGTATGTTTATTGCATGAATGAATCATTCTTTGGCTTCTTTTCTCCTTTAATAATCTTCCCAACTACCTGTAAGTAAAATACTAGTTATTGTGGTTTTACTCCTGATTAAAAGCTATAAGGTTTTCTTCTATATATTTTGGGTTTACATTAATTTAGATTTATAAATTATGAGTGATGAATGCAGCTATTAAAAATAAAAGAGGGGCCAGGCATGGTGGCACAGGCCTTTAGTCTCAGCACTCTGGAGGCAGAAGCAGGCAGATCTCTGCGAGTTCGTGGCCAGCCAGGTCCCCACAGTGAATTCAGGCCAGCTGTGACTACAGGGAGACCCTGTCTCAAAAAGACCAAAAATAAAATAAATAAATAAATAGTCCCAGGAGGTGGGGCCAGCAGCGCCAGCCCCCGGTCCCTGGACTCCTG